GTTTTCATTTCATGGCAAATGCATCATTGCGAAACGATCGGTAGTGAATAAGAGATGTATGAATTAAAAAGATGTACATTATCTATGTAATATCTCTGTATGATTGAAGAAATGTCTATATTTGATTTTCTTTAAATCGTTTTAATAACACCAATGACTGTGCATTGATATTTCTGTAAAAAAATCATATATCATGCATTTGAAAAGTATTGGAGAATGACAATTGTTTAATGGAGTTCGTGAAGCATTCTGTATATCTACTTGTTTCGCCTCTGTGGATTGTTAATAGCTCGTAAGATAGTACTATTAAAGTAATATTTCTCACATATATATATTTCGTATACAATTTTATTTCATGAATATTATCAATAGTTTATAATTCCTATGAATTGTTTCCAATTATTATTATGGCCAGTTTGACAGAGATATATAAAGTGCCTAAATTGTTACTGTCCATTAACGTGTGGTTTTTATATTATTTATATCTTCACCTTTTTATTAGACTTATATCGATATCTTATCTTGCTTATTAAAAAATAAATATTTTAAGACTTGTTTCCGAAATATAAAACTTGACTATAAGGCAAGTTTAAATTTAAAATTTTTAGACAAAGTATCTTAGATATTTAATTGCACACAAGACCTGAAAAAAGAGAGGAATAAATTGTAATATATTTAATTAGAAATAATATGTTTAATCAATATTAAACCAGTCATTACCTAAGTAATCGTCCATTAATGTGCCAATAGCAAACTGAAAAACAAGTAATTTATGTCAATGTGAAATAGATTTTCGTTATTAATGTAATACTCACAATTCCAGTAGCATCAACTCTTGTGCCCACAATTTTTAGTCTAATTTCATCATCCGCTTGGATAACTACATCCTGGAAAAAATGTATACTCAAACTTGTTACTACTAAATTTACAATTATAATAGATGTTTGAATTATCAGAATTATGTTTATAAGATTTTTATTGCAGCGTATACAATATTTTATGACTTACCTCTTCTTTTGATTTGTAACAAGCTGGATTAACATTTGGACAGAATTGCATATCTTCTGGGATTGACTGTAAAAATTTTGATTCGCATATAATTTTACATATTCTATCTTAATTATTAACTTCATTTGAATTGATTTTTTATTTTATGCAATATATAATTAGTATAATTACTCACATGATGAGATATAAAGCATGAAAGTGGACCTATTTCAGCAAACATTCCAACCTGAATATAAAAGGTAAAATATTAAACTGTTTGGCAATTAATAAATATGTTGATATAAATATAAATATATGACATATTTTATAAGAATAGTCAATTTATAATTGGCAAATTCCAAAATTGATTTTATCAGATGTTTATAAATGAAAGAGATAAATGACATAATTGATATTGAGAATATAACAGCCTAGCATGGCTACTGATAAATTAATAATTTAAATTAATAATTTAATGGATCATTATACGTTTTCAAAGAAAGCATTTATTTATACCTTATTTACTTGAGTCACAATCGCATCCAGTACTTCACCCTTAAATGGTCTGAATACAATAGCTTTATATTTAACAGGATATACTACAAAACCTTGTCCTGGTTGTATGATACCAGCTCCTATGTTATCTATTGTTGTAACTGCAACTACGAAGCCATATCTGAATAAATGTATAAAAAAATAAATGTACAAATGTATTAAAAATAAAAAAATAATATGTATGTGTGAGAACTAATATCAAAATATACAATACTCACTTTCCTGTACAAGTGCCTTCTACTTCTGTGTACAGCTTCTGTTTCACAGTATCAAGTAATTGAGGGCCAAAATATCGAGGGTGCAATAGAATTTCATGTTCCAATGAAATCTATAATTTATATATATTTTTGTAAAAAAATCACAGAGAGAGAAAGAGAGGATAATTTTATGCTTCGTCACAGATTTTAATAATTAATAACAATCTATAAGATGTATGCAAAAATTGACTTACGTGATAAAACATTATGTTTAAGTGCCAATTAAAACAATATTATAAATATTTAATCCAATTTAAATTTGTAAAATTTAGTAAATTAAACAATCTTAAGTTCATAAGTAAGAATCTTTTTCCTTTCTCGATCACTATCGGAAGCTTATAAAAGAACCGGTTATTTGTATAGGTTAGACTGTACATTTATAAACATTCTCGCCATATGACGCGGGCTACGGTCAATGTAACACTACGGCTGCGTTTCGATATTCATTGCCATTGAAAATATATAATTCAAGTCACGTATAATATAGATTTTCAGTACTGACAGTGAATATCAGAACGCAGCCTAAAGGCTACATATCGAGTAGAATTTTGGAACATAATCCAGAGGATTGATTATATATTTTGTAAATTATAATAAATTAATAATAATAAATTAATAATAATTATAATAATGAAAAAAACTCACTAAAACATTTGCAACTTCATATGTCAAAAGCTAATAAATTTCTTCATTTTCCTCACTTCTATAATTTTCATCTCGTTTCAAGGTATACAAGATAAGATATACAATCTATCCGCAGAAATCTTCTAGAAAAAAGTTTTCTATCTTACCAATCAACGCGTTCAAAAATTTTGTACATACAACAATATATTATATATGCAACAAATTAAATATTCTAAATTAACGCAATCAGAATTCCGATCATGTAACTTTTTTTTCTAAGGCGGAAACGTGAAGAAAGACTCGAGGCTCGAGTTTGTTGGTCGCGCCAATTTCGCGCGGCAAATCCAAAAATCTAAGAATTCGGACGATATATTTGACAAAAAAAAAATGGCATTTCCACAATCACATCAACAGGAATTAATCGAACTGGCCGAATTAACAGGAATTTCTGCGGTACCCGGTGTTTTCCGGTGAGATTTGGCAACAATTTATCGAAAGTGGAATTTCGCTGTGAACATAACCTTTAAACGTGATTTCATCATAACGCAATTCTTTATTACAGCATTGTGTTGGAATTATTAGCATTACAAGTATCTCCAGAAGATATTTACACTCTTCTTAAACAAATCTCGACAAAAGCATCGAAACCATTGAGCCAACGGATGACAAATGAAGAGGGGCAAGCTTCTGGTTCATCCACAAAAAAATAATCCACTAGGTTTACTGATTGACAATTCAATCCTTAATTACTGCATAATAAAAAAAGAATGTACTTAATGTAGATAAAATTATATAAGAAATTCTTTAAGTAATTTACAGATGTAAATAGCATCTAACAATTTACACTTTTTAGTAGTTATTAATAAGAATTGGTACATTTTGTAAGATATAATATGACACAATTGTTCAGTTTATCCTTCTCAATTTCAATATTAATGAAATTATGCTTATTTGTATTTTTGTATGAAACCAATATATCTTCAATTGTAATATTATTTTAGAAATTTATGTAGAAATATAGTATAGCCTATAATTTTAAGAACTTTTTGTATCTCTGATATGCATTATATCTTTTACAATAGCTTACTTTAATTGCTTAAGAAACAAAGAATATATTATGTATGATTTATTAATAATTAATGTCTAAATATAATAGCTTCTACAGAAAAAGATTAAGTGTACAAAAATAAAATGAAAAGCTTACAATATCGTCTACAGGAGGTGTTTTGTATTTTTAATCTTTATTATTAAGTTTGACTTTTATATCGCAAGCAACCTTTTCTTGCTAGCTGATCTGCCATTTCATTACCATGAATTCCTACATGTCCATTCACATGATTCTATAAGAAAGGTTATGTTTATTAATGCTAAACGAACAATATTTCTTACAATGATATAAAAAATTTATATTATAAATCTTTAAAAAAAACATACTATTTCATTCATACTTTAAATCAAAATTTTAAATAAAAGTAAATATTTTGCTTACCCAAGTGACAATCAAGGATTCTAATTCTTTCTCCATTTCTATCAATTCTGTTTTATTTATAACTGGTTTATTCTGTATTGTCTTCCATCCTTGTTTCTTCCACTTTGGCATCCATTGCGTAATACAAGAAATAAGGAATTTGGAGTCAGTGTTGATTTTTAATTTCTTGATTCCTGCTTTCTTCGCTTGCTTCGCAGCTATCGTGACCGCTTGGATTTCTGCCATGTTGTTAGTAGGTCGTCCCTCCACTGGTTGAGATACATTTCTATGAAAATTACAGTATGTAATATATTGAAGTTTCATTGAATTCTAGCAGAGTGATGGAAGTTAAACATACAAGGGATGATTGTCTTGAAACCAAACGCCGATGCCGGCTCGAGCGTTTTTATATCCGTTTGAACTGCACGCACCATCCGTGAAAACGTTTACATAGCCATCTTCATCCACAATAAAGTTCGTTTCATCATTCTGCGTATTTCCAAAATCACAGAATACAGATGAGATATTGCTGTACAATTTGTTGTAATTTGTAAGCCAATGTATGAACTCCTCAGAAATCAAACAGATTAATTTTATAAAATAAAGAAAATTAAAAATTATAAGTTATAATCGTGTGTTTTAAGATTAAACTTGTTAAAATTAAAAATTGATAGAAAGTAGATGATTAGTTTGGTTTCTAAGAGATTTCATATATTTCTTGTAATATTCTATTTATTTTAACCTGATTGAGAGTTGATTTGTAGCAATCACCTAATGCAATTTTTCTTTTTTACATACTTGTTCATTAGTATCGCTTGTTGACAAAGTTCTTTTTGGAAATGATTTTGTCTCAACCACTATAGATTGCTTACTATCAAGTGGAAACAGTTGCTTTGGCAAGGTTTGAGATCTGAAGAAAATATCAATATTAAATAATAAAATTTCAGCTTTATTACTACTCTTCATTATTTCTACATCTTTAATAAATAAATAAAAATAATTATTCTTATTTATTTATTATATTTTATATTTATTTATATATATTTTATTTATATATTTTATTACCTCGCAGATTTAACAGTTTTCAAAGAGATAAGGTTCTTGGTAGAATTTGTTCCCACAGTTGAAGAGGATCGCTCTTTTATAAAGTTCTGAGCCTCACTTTCCATTGAAAATTTCTTATATATTGACCCAGGAAACTTAATAACTTGAGCACTACATTCATCCCTGTTAAAAATAGAAAAGTCAAATGTAATTAATTTTCTTTGGTAATTAATTAATAAGTTTTTTTTACCATGTGGCATATATTCCAGGTCTTCGACCTTTGGCTACTGCATAATAAGGCATTTTGCTTAAGAAAGTATGTCTTGTTATAAATATAAAATTCAATTGCATCAATTTGTTCAATATAGATTATCTATGTTCAAAAATCATATCACTGTTACTTAATATAGTCTTCTTTTTTATTAACATTGAATGCATTATTTCCTAGAAATGTCCTAAAAGTTTTAAAAAAATCTAAGAAAACATTTTAA